AATGACATACATAGATACAAACACATGCAGTATTATGTCATTCATTCTACCCACTAACACTTCATTATGAGCAACAGACAGACACAAAGAAAACCAGTGCTTATGCACATGTTAGCATGAGAGGTGCCCTCTTCTATAAATACCTTTTGGATCTATACTTTCTGTGTGCTAAAGTGCAGCCTGGATATGTGGATTCTAGCCTCTGATTGTTGTCCCACAGTCAGAGCACACTGTGTAGGAGAAAGATTAGCAGCATCAGCTCATTCATGTGATGCAGCACAGCAGAGGGGTGGGGGGAGAGAGGGATTGAGTTACCACAGACCATACAATATGTTTCACCACTGCTTGTCTTGGTCTTCAGCACAGTTGAAACTTTTTCTTTCAGTGGACACACAAGGTAGCCCTAGCCTAGTATATATCTTGATAAGGGAGTAGGAAATTTGTGACTGGCGCTTCCTTGTGTCGAAGAGGCCAAGACTGGTTGCACAGGACAGCTTTGTGATGTGACTTTATACTGTATGCAACACACTGAGCCCCACCCTCCTAAGCTACTGTCAAGCACTTAGTGTGGTTAATGACATTATTGTTAGCTAACTGAAAAAGATTAAAAAGCATCTATCAAGTTTGGGCTGAAAACTGTTTGTTAATAACAAACAGTTGTCGGATCCTGTCTGATCACTTGTGTTTGCATTACCACATAGACTCCAGTGTAAAGGATTTATACAATGGAGGTGAGTGGAATTTTGTTTGTGGTGCTCACAGTGTGGAAACATTATACATTTAAAGCATTCAACAGCAGCGTGTCATTCCAGTGTGGCTTTCCAGGACATTGTACCTTGCTGTTGAGTTTTGTAAATGTAATATTGTGGTACTTTGAGCATCACAAATTAAAGTTCATTCACCTCAATTGTATTGGGGTGGCAGCAGAAATCTCAGAGATGGATATTTTAAAATCTAGGCTAATCAAACCAAACGTTTCTGCAAGAGGTAGGTAAGAAAATGTTTTAAAAAAATAATTTGAATAAACTGACCTTCAAAGTGAACGACCCACTTTTCCGTACTATATCTCAACAGCTATGTTTTTGGAACCATTAGTAATGATGAACAAAACAAGACTAATGGGTTGTAAAAAAATAGAATAGCTTTTTTGTTGGTTGCGAAAGCACATGTTATAGGTTAGCAGATATCTCCCTGGTGTAATGAGCAGTACACATACAACTGGTAAGTTTCCAGAAAACAAAACAATTCTTGGGGAAAAGTGAAAGGAAAGGAAACAATAGTTTGTGCTCAACAACAAGGTAGGCCAAAACATGCAATTCATCTATACTAGACTAGTGGACTTGAACAGTTGGTCCAGCTTAAACATTACATCCCGATACAGTCAACCAATTCCAAAGCTGAGTCCTAGGATTTGTAAGGTATATCTCCAGACCAGTTGTATTTCATGAGAAAAATCTTGAAAATTGTACCAAATCAATTGCATTACATTTATTTGACTGCTGCGTTTATCCAAAGTGACTCAGAATAAGTCCAGTCAACCATGTGGATACAACAAAAATTGCAAGAATCATGCAAGTGCTTTAACATCAAATAAGCTGTTTGCGGCGTCCCAAAGTAATGACCGGTGGAATTTTGGCATTAAACTTGCCATTGAAGACGTTGTAGAGGCTTCTCCCCTCTCCTGGGAAATGGTGGTTCTGGATGTATTGTCAGTTGGCTTTCCTGTGATGATGATGTGATGTGAAGAGGATAGCTTCAAGCTAATTAGGCCTGGTCTGCTCTGGTCAGCCTGACTGAACATAGTGCTGCAGACAGCCTGTGGTCAGCTGGACCCTCTTAGCCTCTCACTGACCACACAAATGCGATCACAAACACTCTTCAGTTGAGGCTGTGGGCACTCAGTGCTTTCCTTATGCCTCCGTAAAGTGTGTAATATCTGTCGGTTCTGGGCCAGTTTCATGGACAAGGATTAAGTGGAGCTTTAGACAAAAATATACTGGTTTCAATAGAAAAGAGAGAACAATTCCTAGCTATGACTACGTCCATGAAGTCAGCCCATTCATTTTTATAATTAGCAAAGGAAGTGGGTGCAGTAGGGAAGAAGAGAGATGAAAGAGGAAAGCAGGAGACACACTAACTAGAGAGAAGAAGAAGCCTAGAGCCAGAAAAAAGAGAAAAAAGGACAAATTGGTGAAGAAACCAGTCAAGCCAGTTCAGGTTTGAGCCGCCACTGACCTGTCAGCTTTAACAGCCCACCACCACCAGCCAGGAACCAGGATTGGCTTAAAACCTGGATTTTCTGTCGCTCTGACATACTGGAGTTGTCAGTCAGCCAGTGGGATTATCGCCCTGATTTTCATACGGTTACGGTCGCTGTGATTTGGCTTTTGAGTCATCAGCTAGTCACTTTGATTGGCCACAGAATATTTTACTTGAGGCTGCAATTAATTAGCAGCAGTGTTGGGAGAGGGACAATGGTTTGTTTGAGAAAATGTAAAACTTGTGGTTGTGGTAGTTGTTCTGATTAAAAATTTAAATAAATCTAAAAGGACATTAAAGTGACTTGTATTCCGGTGCACCTTTCCCTGGCTTCTTTCTCTCTTTCTTGCTTTCTCTCTTTCTTTCCCTCCTTGTGTTTGATCCAGTCTTTACCATATGCGAAACAGAAGCATTTTTGGATGCTGCACCAGGGCTTTTGAAGAGAATTTTGATACTCCAAACTGTTTTGCCATGACATGCAAATGAAGTTGGCAGAGAAGGCGCCACTTTCAGCTGCGCTTTCAAAGACTGTTCATGGGTTATGGCTGTGAACACAGTGTTGATGCTATGATATGGAGATAAAGATGAAACAGTGAGTGTTTCTCTTTATGAACCTGGTTTTATTCAACCTTCCCTGTATTCTTTACTGTCAGTAGCTCTCTGCTGTTCCTGCTGCTTGTTGTCTTTAAATCTCTCTCCTGGCTCCCCACTGGTGGAGAAACTTTTCCACTTATTCAGAAAAGAACCCCCCCCTCCAGATTCCATTATATACTATAAGTCGGACGCTCATCTCCTCAAAAAGTACCTTGATGAATCAGACCCTCTTTCCTCTAATCACTATAATTGCTCTAAAAAAATCCCCTCTGCCTTAGCTCTTATTTTAATTCTTTTCCAAGCACTTCTCTCTTACATGATCATTCTGGCATCACAGGAATATCGTACCTTCAGGCTCTGGCCCTTGCACTCCTTATAATTGGTTGCTTGTAATGATGAATGTAGTAATCAATGGATTTGACCTTTATCTTTTACCTTATATAGTGTGCAAGTCATTCTTACTGTTTAAGTCATAAAATATTAAACTGAATGTGAATTTGGTGATTTGAACCGGCTTCCCTGTACTTGTCCCCACCTGCAGCTTTAGAAATACTGATAGCATTTCACACACCCCCTCTGACCTCCCACTTCAATATTATCTTTCCACGCTCTTCTTCTGTTCATCCATCATCCTATTCTACGTTCTACCTTAACTTTTCCCCTTTAACATCCCTCTCTGTCTTCCAGTCTTTGGATCTCTTGAATCTGCTTGCACCCACACAGTGTTTGCTCTCCTTATCACACTCTCTCTTCTCAGTCTCTTTTTGTTTCCCTTTATCTCCCTATTCACCCTTTTGTCTGTTTGTCTTTCTGGCTGTGTCTTCCTCTTGGGATGGGAAGTGGAGAAAGCTATGTACCCATAATTCTAACAAGATAACAATCAATGATCAAATTAGATTTTTTTGTGCTTGATTGTTTTCCACTGAAGGTTTTTTTTCTCCAGTGGCACTGCACAATGAACCGTCTTGCCTTAATTCTCTCAAGGGACCGAACATTTTGCTCAACCTCTCTGCTTTCACTTGTCACCCCCAGCTACAACCAAAGAATTTACCCTTATCAAAAGTTTTGGTATAAGGCAGAAAAAGATTCCTCTCTGTTTGGTGATGTCCTGCAGTTTTTCAGATGACTGCCTAAATCCAAAAGCTGCTGCTTGAGTGTCTGATGCTGTCCCCATTCCTCCTCCTACTGTGATCTCTCTCTTCCCCTCACCCTGCTCTTCATGTGTGTTGCTGTACAGGAGCAGCTAAGAGCATGCGTCTAAGCAGGTTGGCATAACATTAGAGAGGGCATGCTATTTGATATGGCAGTAATCTTCTGTTAAATCCCCCAAGAGTGAAACACAGCCGCCTTCAGCTTTGCACAGATTTCAAAAATGGTCTTCTTTTCTTCTTAAATTTTTTTTTTCTTGTAGAAGTACACCCCTTGCTTAGATCAGCTCTGCATATATATTAGTGTGGTGTGTGTGCATGTGTGCATGGCATGTATGGGTGTGGAATTAGTGAGACTTAATGTCACTGTCCCCCGTTAAGGCACTGGTTAAGTTAAGCACCACATTGGTTTCTAGCAGAATAATGTGATTTTGTGGAGCGCAGTTACTGAGGGCAGCGGTGTGTCATCGATGCTTAGTGTGTGGTTGGTAAAACTTGAAGGTGGCTGATAATTCTCTTGGCTGAGCTGATTGGTTTCGTTTATATGTAGATTAGGTTGGGGAAGCGACTCCTACTAAGCTAAATTCAACTTCTGAACTACTGATAATGCATTTTTAGTACTTTGTACCATTGCCAATAGCTTTTTAAAACTTACATCCAAAAAAAATCTTACTTTGTTATTTCAGAACTCATTATAAGGTATATTTTTAAGACTTTAAACTCATGACTGCAAGCAGCGGTATTTCTTCCGCATCGCCTTGCTTTGCCTCAGAAATATGGTTATTTGTGAGATGTGAGCAAAACAATACTGAGTAACATTACTTTACAGTAGATTGCTCACACAGGGACATGCATGCTATACACTATTACATTTATTGTAAGGCAAAGTAAAATGTGCCTGTTTTCAGAATCATCTTATAAGAATGAAAAGACATTGTTTAGGGATTTAACTGCTTCAGTAATTGTAACCTAATAACATGATGTGTGGTTTTCTTTCAGAAATACAAGGAGTTTGAACGGGCAGTGCGGGTGGAGGAGATTGATGGGCTGCGGCTGGTAAAGAGGCTGGCGGAGGACATGGAGGAGATGTTTCATAAGAAAGCCCAGGCAATGAAGGTACTTTATTTAATCTTCCTCCATCACACTAAACCTTTTTTGAGTTAAAGGACCAGTGCATGGGATTTAGTAGCATCTAGTGGTGAAGTTGCAGATTGCACCAACTGAGTACCACTCCCCTCGCAGAAAATGTGATAGGTCCTATAGAGCTAGTGTTTGGTTTGTCCGTTCTGGGCTACTGTAGAAACATGAAAGAATTATAAATACTATGGTGAAGGCATGACCCACCCTACTCTGCCTCTGATTGGCTTATCCTGATATTCTTATCCTAACTCTGACCAGTGTCACTTCTCATGCCTAAACCTGACCAACCCAACCAACGTTAGCTAGCCAGCCAGCCTTATGCCTTTATAATAGTGGGATTCATAATTTGGCGAATAGACCTACTGCCACTGCAGATAAAACGGCTTATTTTAAGGTAACGCAAATGCAGTGATTCTTATTTTCAGGCGATACTGTACACCAATGAAAATATACTTATGAATATTAAATTCAATTTCTGCTGTGTTTTGCCAATAAACCCCCCTACATCTTACACACTCGACCCTTAAGCAAACCATTTGATGTACAAAACAACTCCTATAAAAGCATGAAGGAAATGTGAAGAAAGTAAAGGTACTAGTCTGAGCTCAGTGAACTCATTTGGTAAAGTATTCATTTCTGACCACTCTGCTCACCCTTTTGGGTGTCTGAAGAAGTGCTGTAGTGTCACATTGCCCCAGTGAATCCAGACACATTTTGCATTTGCTGTGTGTGTGTGTGTGTGTGTGAGAGAGAGATATGTGAAGGAGTGGGTGCTGTGGGTGAGGTGGCAGACATAGAGAGGCTGTGATCCACCCATTGGAGTGTGTCACTTTATTGATCTGCTCTGACCAAACATCAGTATCTACTGTAAGAGGTCACTTTAGGACAAAGCTCTAAACAAAAACTGAAATCATACGATTTCAATTATGTTTATTTCTTGTTTTGTTTAATTCTACATGTATTTCTGGATGTATTGGGTGTCTTTTGTCTTTGAAACACAAGTGTAGCATTAGTGTCCCATGGAGGACAAGTGTGCTCAAGTTTGAGGTACTTAATACTTTTTCATAATTCATTTAAGATGGAAATATTGCCTTATTTACTCCACTGCATTTGACATTTTATTTGACAGCTACTGTATAGTAAATAGTTATCTTGCAGTATGAGATCTTCAAAACATGTGATCTGCGCTTTAAATATGCATTTTTATATTTAATTTACATAATAGAACATCAGAATAGCAAAGAATATATCTGTCTATCGGGGTGGAAATTTGTCTTTGGCTCACGGAAACAAGATACAACATCATTAAAAACAGACAAGCTATTAGTAAAACAAACACATAGACAAGATCACATTACACATTTAGAAACAATTTATGTCAGTGTCTGTGGCTAAGATCTCTAGAGTTAAGAATATTAATGGCACTTAGGACGAATGATTTCTTGAATAGATTTTTAGTTGCCAGGGGGACGCTATAGGGCCTCCCCTAGCTCAAAGGCGCAAACTGGCTGAAGAGAGGATGGGAGCTATCTGCCAGGATGCTCCTGACTTCCTTTCTTGTTCATTCCGTAAAAAAATTGAGTCAAGGGCTTTTTGGGGTTTCCAATCGTTTTGCTTACCATTGACACAGTCCTAGAACGTTTATTCTTGTATAGTTTAAGTACCAGGCAGAGAGGTGAAAAGTTAAAACATCTCAACATCTCTTGAAAATATACTTAGAGTCTCTGAGACTGTGAGTCTCGTTTATTCTGCACAATGAGAACTTTTAATTGTGATACTTTAAATTTAGTTAATAATACTTAATAGTACTTTCACTCAAACGCAGGACTTTGACTCATTTTGGTGTATTTTTATATTGTGGTCTTTCTATTCTTTCCTAAATATAAGATCTGAATGCTTCATTCACCACTGCTGTCAGTACATGTGTACATGACCACATTTGTCCATATCGGTGTGTGAGCATGTCTGTATGTCTATGGATGTGTGTCTATGTGTGTGTGATTGTGTGTCAGTGTGTCAGTGCTGTAACAGGTGCAGTTCAGGATGTGTCCATGGTGCACTGCCTCTCTGGCTGCAGCTCTAGCTCCAGGTGATAGATCCTATCAGGACAACATGGTGCTGTTAACAGAAATTGGATTTCTCTCTGAGAGTCTGGTCCAAGGATACAAGCTGAAAAGAAAAGCGAGGGATGGAGAGAGAGGGCCACAGATAGTGACAAACCATTTCCATGCTTTAGCTTTGCTTGTGCATGTGTTATTATTCTAGTGCATGATACCTTTTCCTGCTTGGATTGTGTGACCATCCCTGTTTCATGTTGTTACATCTACTTTGAAAGCATTCACATTTTCACCTGTCCACATGCTCAACAGTCTTCACCAAGCACATAGAAAAAATGAAGTATTTCATGCTAATGTGAGTCATCTGGCATTTCAAAATATATGACTCCTAGTCTTATACAATGATTGCTGGCATGAAAGCAAGGTTATAATTGAATATTGTTAATGGTTATGTTATTTACTCCTGCAATAGGAAATTACAGAAGGGGGGGGCTTAATCAGTTTTCTAATAATAATGACCATTGTTGTTGGATTACAGCACTGCTGCATCCTTTCAAAACCAGTGTTTACTGTATTTAACTTACGTAACTAAGCTTTTCATTACAGAGAGACATGTCTTGTCAACCGATTTCAACTGTCTGATAAACTTACATGCTGACAGGAGTCATTTTTATTGAGCTGTGAGATAAGAGGTATTGAATCTTGTGACATAGTTGTCTGTGTGCGCCATCTCCTTGAGAGTGCGTTAAACCCCTGGAGATACGAGGACTTGGTTAGCTAATGGCTTCTCTAAAGCCGCCTGCCTGGATGCTGGATGCCTGATAATTGTACATCTCAGGGGTGAGTCAGTGTGTGTTCATACGTGTGTGGAGTAAGGGTTGATGAGAAGATGAGAGGGAATACTGGTCACTGGGGTGATGGAATAGCGCTTTAGCAAAGACAAATGAAAGTCATGGCAGGAACAGGAAAAATAAATCCTATAGGCGAGAAATCTGAGGAAAAGTGGAGGAGTGAAAAGAAATTCTCCATGCTTATGTCCATGGAGAATATAACCCGCTTCAGCTGCCATCAGGAGTCCACTTCACCTCAACCTTTCTCGTTTTCAACGCTGACAGTTTTGCTTTGTGATGAAATGTTAGTGTCCATAAGTCCCTTTCCCTCTTCTTTTCCATCTTTCTCCAATTTGTCTCTGCTTTTATTACCCAAACTCTCATCTGTCTGGCCTAGTGTGCAGTCCTGCAGCTGTCCTTAAGCATCCCTGGCTCCTTTGTCTGTCTCTCCCCTCTCGACTCCACCTCTTCCCATCTCTCAGCTTTTTTGCTAAAGTATATGTGGCGCTTCAGCGATTCAATTTCCGCGTCGGCGCCTTCCCCTGTCCATCAACATGGTTTTATCTAACCGTCTCCACGTCGATTCCCCCCCTCTTTATCACTCGCCGCCACCTGCTGTGAGACAGCCGCTTCTGCTGTAAAGGGTGCACCTGTAAATATGTGTGTATGCTAGTTGATGTCATTCTTTTTAAGTGTGTTTAGGTGAGACAGTGTTTATGCATTCATTCTTGTGTTGTTAAGATAATGGGTTTGACTGAGAGAAAGGGAAATTATATGGTAGAGAATATGTTTATAAGCTTAATTCATAGTATTTAAGCTTCCTGCAGGTTTTGGGTGTGGTATTGTTTGTGGGTGTGTTTGTAATCAGGATTGAGTATGTGTGTGTAATTGCATTTAGAATTGGTGTTTGATTGTGTTCGTGTCTCCGTCCCCTCTCCCTTATCATCTCCACATTATTGTGCACAGCCTCCTCTGTCTGACAGAAAAGGAAACTTTAGGCAAGAGCAGTTGTGGCTTTTAGTTGCTTCAGCCAATTTAATTGCAACTCCACTATTATAGATAAGATAAAAAAGGCAAATCAAACAGTGTTTCAAAGTAAACATGTGCTCGCAAAGGTTGCTGCGCGTGTCTGTCCTCCTTTTGTAGCTTGTGTGTGTGTGTGCCATCAGTCTATCGTATGTGTATTTGTGTATTTTATTCGTGGGCATATTAGCTCACCATTGTTACTTTTTAATTGCTCTTACCTTCATCAGTTCCCAAGTTGGTGGGATATTATCAATGTCTAGCAGACAGCAGCTCCTCTCCTTTCCTTTCCTCTCCTCTCGTCTCCTCTTTCTATCTCTTCTGAAAAAAAAAAAAGCTTGTCTGCTGGCTGGAAACTGTGGCGACAGCAGACGGTTAAAGAAACAGCGAGCATGTTGTTATCAAAGTTGAAAGGCGTGGAGCTATTGTAATGCCCTCTTTGAAGTCAAGCACGGCTGTGTTTCATGTGACAAATGCACTTCAAAGCAGAGTGGATGCGTTGCTGCTAGGGCTGTTTCTCCTGTAATGGCATTCGGTCTCTGCATGCTCTGTACCTGCTGATATCATTTACCTGTGGCAGCTACGCCTCTGTAGTCCTCAACATGATTACCAGTGTAGAGTAGAGGAAGTCTGCATGGGTGTATGTTAAAAATAAAAGGTACACACAGGACTTTAAATGAAATTTCTCTTCCAGCAAAAACCTCCCATTAACTTTCATTTTCATTTGCTGACATGCACAGTGAATATGAAACACAAATTTTAGCAATGTGAAACAACTTGTCCTCTGCAGGAGTTGATTTAAATTAAGATGAACATTTATTGGAAAATTCTGGTTTATTATAACTTTGGTCTTATTTTTACAGTTTTGGCTGTCATTTCTGTTGGTAATGATATCATTCCAATTTAATTGCTGAGCACACGACAACATTGCTTAAAAGAAGTCTGACAGAATACCAGCAATCAGACAATCAAACCTCATGGTTAGCCAAATTTACAAACATGGACAAATATGGGGAAAATGAAGACAAATGGTGAAACCCATCACAGACTACTTTCCAGTTTCAAG